CTTCTGAAACACTGGACTGCTGCAAGAAGCAACGAATAAAATCACAGAATCAGGGTTGCAAGGGACCCCCAAAGATCATTGAGTCCAACCCCCCTGCACAACGGGCTCCGTACAGCAAGCTGCACAGGTAGGGCACCCAGGAGGGTCTGGAACATCTCCCGAGAAAGAGAATCCACAGCCTCCCTCAGCAGCCTGTTCCAGCGCTCAGCATCCTCGCTGTGAAGACGTTCCTTTGCATTTTGGTGCAGAACTTCCTATGCTCCAGTTTATGGCCATTTCCCCTTCTTCTGTTCCCACAGATCTCTTAACATATTTAAAAGTATTAATCAGATCTGCTCTCAGTCTTCTTCCCTCAAGGCTGAACAGACCCAGGTCACCCAGCCTTCCCACACAGGGGAGATGCTCCAGGTCTTTATAATCTTCGTGGCCTTCTGTTGGACTCCCTCCTGGAGATCCCTGTCAGTTTTGTACCAGGGAGGGAGCCCAGAACTGGATGCAGTCTTGCAGGTGAGGCCTGACCATGCAGAACAGAGGGGGAGGGGGAGGATCACCTCCCTTGCCCTGCTGGCCATGCTCCTTTTAATACACCCCAGGACCCCATTGGCCTTCTTGGCCAGCAGGGCACACTGCTGACTCATGGCCAACCTGTCGTCTACCAGGACCCCCCAGGTCCTTCTCTGCAGAGCTCCTCTCCAGGGGGTCACATCCCAGCCTCTACTCATACTTGCAGTTATTCTTCCCAGGTGTAAGACTCAACTCTTGCTTTTGTTACACCTCATCTGGTTTGTTACTGCCCAGCTCTCCATCCTGTCCAGGTCCTGCTGAATGGCAGCACAGCCTTTTGGTGTGCCAACCACTTCTCTCCCAGCTTTGTCTCAGTGTACTTACTAAGGGTGAACACTATCCCCTCATCAAGGTCATTGACGAAGATATTGAACAAGGCCATGTGAGAAACACTCAAAGTCACAAATTTCAGGTTAGGCAAGTACTCTCAACTGGGAGAAAGACTTGGAAAAACTTAATAACAAAATGCAATAAGTCTGTCTCAGGCTCACAGTCTCGCCTATGCTGTTGCTATGATATATTTCCATATAAGGTCCATTACCAACCTGTTGTTTTTTGGTATGTTTTGTACTTCTTCATGGAGATAGGAGGGCAATATTTCCAAGAGTGAACACGTTCTGTCCTGTGCTCTCTCTCTCTCCACCCTGCATATTGGCCTCATTTTGTGCCTGGCTCAATTCAGAACACCCAAAATCTTTAACTTCTCACTCTGTTCAGCAACTTTCTTAGTGGAAGGTAAACAGCTATTTCACAAGAGGGTTATAAGTTCAGCAAAGGTCAATACTACATACAGAAAATACTAAAAGCTTCTATTGCAAAAACACAATCTACCTTTCACAACCAGACCCAGCACCACCCCCAGGGAGCACTGCCACTCACAGCTCTCCACCCGCACTCCGCACCACCGATCACCACCCCCTGAGCTCAGCCAGTAAGCCAGTTCTCAGCCCACCTCATTATCCACTCATCTATCCCACACTTTCTCAGCTTCATTAGCAGGATGTTGTGGGAGACTGTATCAAAAGCATTGCTGAAGTCAAGGCAGACGCCATCCACTGCAGCAGCACCCGAAATGGTCCATCCCACTTGGGCTGAAGCTTTGACTCCTTCCAGGTGCGTATTAGGACCCAGTCTCCAACGCATGCACTGGAAATTCCAGAGGTGGAATTTGAGCCAACAGTCCACATTCCTTAAGGGATAACAGAGAAGCAGACAATCCAAGTATATAGTTCTTAAGAAACTTATCCTTGGTTTCGAGAGTGGGCATCTCACCACTCCCAAGTACAGCAACCCAAACAGCATTTTGTATGGTGATACTCCTAAGTCTTTTCACAGAATCACAGAATTACTAAGGTTGGAAAAGACCTATAAGATCATCCAGTCCAACCATCCACCTATC